GGCAACGACACTATTTTGATGTTGAGTAAATCAAAAGTAAGTATTAAGTATTGTATCCACAGAGACCGGCGCGATATTAAAAACGTTCAACAGTTAATATGATTTTAAGCAGAAGTTTTACAAGATATTTGATTTGTAAGTTATCAAATGTAAAAACATATAATCAATAAGGATAGTTTTCAGACGAATAAGCTTGTTGGGATTGGATTCCATCCACCGATTAAATATGCAAATCAGTTATCAGTTATACACAATCTAAGTATGTATCAATATCATCACATATCGTTTACAAATAGAGTTTATGTCTAAACATCTGATGAGGATTCTACCATATTGTTTAATCGACGATTACTCAGCCTATTAAACAATACGACAGCCTTAAGAATCGATACTTATGGTGAATATTAAATCTAAATCTATGTCTAGCCTTTAGAGTTTAATAGATGATTATATCTTGGATCAGGATTAGGATCGTATTTCTAAATATCAATTCAAATCCATGGAGTTAAACATTAAAACAAAGATATCATCGATAATGATTCATAAATAAATTGCATATAACGCCATGATCAATGAAAATACATATTGTTTCGGTGAACTACAACCAATCCCAACAAGAAAAGGATTTAGCTACTCATGGTAGCTTGATACAAAATGGAGGAATTGAGATGAATCAGCATCAACAATGATTTCCTGACTCTCGATGCGTATCCAACTCGTATCCTCACTTTCCCTCTCTTACTATCTATTACAAACTATCTATTACAAAGTAATAATTTAAAATTTATCAAACGGATCCCCTCTCCAAGCCTCTGTTGTCTTCCTTTTATACTAGTTGAGATGGGGGACTTTCGCTATGCAAAGTTTTGGTCGCTATGCAAAGTCAGCTTGCTTAACCTTGAAGGATTTTAAACCGCCCCTGGAAGCCGCCATATTTCTCTATACGAACTATTCTCGCTTCTGCTCACTTCAAGCGAAACTGGATGATTTTGATTTTTTTTAGTTCGCTTTGACTTCACATTGCGACCTTCGCTATAAGAACTATTTTTGCTTCTGCTCGCTCCCTCTCGCTTCAAGCGAAGTTCTGCTGATTTGGTTATGTTTCTTCTGATGTTGCTCGCTTCAACTTTGCATCACGACCTTCGTTATGCAAAGGAAAGTTCTCTATGCGAAAGTTACAGCGCATGGCTGATTTGGTTCTGTTTCTTTTTGTTGCTGCTCGCTTCAACTTTGCATCGCGACCTCCGCTATGTAAAGAAAAGTTTCGCTATGCGAAAGTTGCAGGGCATGAATTCTTCTTGCTTGTTCCTGATGTGTTCTTGTGTTAATCCCTGCAAAACCATAACCATTCAAGAGTAACATCTTTTTGGATCTTTTGTTAGTCAAATTTCATCTTAAAAGTTAATGGAAACAAGCATTTCGTTCGAGTTTTGGCCGAGGATATAATAACTATTGGATTTCCATCACAATAACTTATCTTTCATCATCAAAGTCATCATATACTCATATAGTTCACAAGGATTATCACGTCACAACATCATCAACAACTGTTTATGCAATGCCACATAGGATGCAACAACATCTTGACTCAAATGCATGTGGTACCAATTTTTTATGAAGACCTTGTTCATCACCCTCCAAAGATGCCTACCATAGGATTGATTCCCTCTTGGAACTGGAGCACAGCATAAACACACTCAATCCTCACAATGGGATTGAGGCTCAACATTAGCTGACCAATGTCCAAACAACACGGGCGGACCAACGCCCAAAATGCTATGAATGAATGATGCACAACAATATTAATAATTCGACCACGGCTAGTCAATTGCATCATCATTCACGTATTCATCATATAATCAACATCACATAGCATGTACACACATTAAACATGCACATCATCAATTTCAATCATCATAGCGACATCATCAATATCAATATCTTAGCAACATCATCGTAACAACATTAATATAATAACATAAGCAAACTTCATCATAACATATAATATTATTCATCATCCACAATAATCAACAATTGACATCAGTAGCAATAACTTTACATTTACACTATTGTATACACTCAATCATGTTACTTCATTATAACTCCACGATTCGTTAATCGAGCAAACAACCCTTTACAAACATCCATATAATAGATACCTGAATATTAATAAAACATTTCAGCAATCACTTTCATGTTATAGCCCTGTGTGTTAGCTTTGTAACACTTCGAACAATACTCGATTTGAACTTACTGTACAGAAGTTATGGCCAAAACGATTTCGTTGTACAACATCCAAGGACCTACTATGGTCGCCCGTAGCACGCCTTTGCAAAATACTCACTTTGAGCACGTTCCTGGTGCCAAAATCCAGGGGCTGCTATAGGTCGTAGCAGGGCCCAGAAAACCCCTATTTTTTCAATATTTTGTGCGATCTCTCCTATTTCTCGGTCGTGCGACAGACCCCAAACCCCATATTTTAACCTCCAACAACCCCCAAAACATAGCATATCATATGGTACATGAATCAAGGAAAGTAAACATATTACAACATCAATTCATCATCTCTAAATCACCATTTAATACACTTAAGATCACAATTATATCAATGGCACATCAAACATCATAATCAACATTTACATCATGTTATTCATCAATCGAACTCACACATACAATAACCTACATCTATCTTAATCCATATCAATCATAATAAACCAGATCACCCCCTTACCTCAATTCCTAACAATCGATCTCTCTTCCTTTGCATTTCCTACAGAAATCCCCTTTTGGTTCTCTGTGCCCTAACCCTTTCTCCACAGCTTTTTCTCCAATTTTACGATCGTACAGAATGAACCACAACTCTCTAATTTTCTCTTTTGTCTTTGTTACCTCTAAAACTATTTTTATGCTATACTTCTTATGCCCTCACTTATTCCCACAACATTATCATTATGCCCTTATTCTCCTTTTTCACCTTAATATCTATTTATTATTATTACAATTCTAAATAATATAAACTGAATTATTTAAATCTACATAATTATATTCATCACCCAATATTCCTCTTATTTCCCCACCACACATCAATATACATCATATAAATAAATCAAAATTCACAAAAAAAATCATTTAGATAAATAATTCTAAATTTTTGGGGTGCTACACAACTCATTCCACTAAAGAAGCTGAAACTTGGCCGGAATCTTTTTTAGATAGGATGGAAGAATTCACCAAGTTGAGTTGAGATTGACAGAGAGTTAAATAAACAAAAGTCCAAGGCAAAACCACCCATAGATATAGATTTAGGTGACAACACATGTTTTGGTGCATTTTAATTTTTATCTAACAATGAATTTAGGTTAAAACATCGCTTTTTGTATATAATGTTAGGTTATTATTGTCAATGATGTATATCGAACATTAATTATATAAATATTAATTGTAAAATTTTACATTTTAATGAAAAACAAATTTGTTTGTGAATAAAATATTCTGCCAAAATAGTTTCTGCAAAACAACTACTAACGGGATAAATCCGAAATTTAAGTTCTAGACAAACTCTTTTTCTTGTGCTTTTCTACACGTAAAAGAGTTATTCCAGAAGTTAAGTTTTGAAATATCCTTTGAGACAAGATTGAGTTTATGAGGTCATTATTGATATAAAACTTCTTAAATATGAATGTTCCTCATGTTGTTAACTAAAATACCATAAAATGTCTCAATATTCGTATATCACATTTCTATACTTTAACAGCGAAAGACTCCCTCTTGAATTTAGGTTCGCATAAATCACTTGTCTTGTCGATCTGAAATTCACACTAGAGATAAAGAGTCTCTTCTGATACCCAGATAATCAAAGAGTTGCGAAACTCAATTATCGTTCACCCTCAATTGAATGAATGGAAAGATATTGTTCAGAAGGTTTGAGCTGAAGATGAATGAAGATTTAATGGTTATTTGAAGTACATTTCACCCTTACAAAATAAAGAGTTCGGTCAAGGTGGATGCACGACTAGGAGATTAACTAACAATATTTTAAAGATGTTGAAACGTCCTCAACAATTTGTTGATAATGAAATGTAATGTTATGTATTTTATATATGTCTTAACACAAATTTATGTTGATTTATGTTGTTGTTCCCATTTTTGCAATTGTTTGTGGTGTGGGATAACAAGGAGAAATTCGAAAGTTAACTTCTGAAAAAATTACAAAACTTAACCTCTTAATAGTTTCATCTATGCCTTGCATAGACTTGACTTTGATTGTATTTTGATGCGAGCGAAGGTTAAATTCTAAATTTTATGGATATTACTGAATTTTCAGTCATGTATGAGCACCATTAAGGGTTGTAAAAGTAATGGGTGTGCCAAAAATAATGGCCTTACTTTATCCTTACTGGTGCTTATGCACTCTGGTTACAAAATAATACTCATAAAATGCGGAAATGCAAAAACGCACCACACCACAATATTTTTAAGTGAGTCACTCTTATTCTTTTGGAAAAAACAAAATAGAAAGTATACTTCTAAAATGAATCTGAAAGTATATTTTGAAGCAATAATGACTCATTATTATGAGTCTCAAGCAGTTGTTGTCATTATTGGTTGTGATCATTCTGCTCAAATAATCTTGAAGAGGAAATAAAACAAATGTTTATTATGAAAATATATTTTTATCGCAATAACAGTTTTTTCCCACCCAACAATACCTTCATTTGACAAACTATTATCATATTAGATGAAACTTTCCTGAGCAAAATACCATAATGGACTTGTTGATGAATTTAACACGATATATGTCATTTTATATTTAGAGGCTCAAATAGTTAAAAGTCAAGTGAATTTTGCAAAATGTTAACTTAGCAAAGTGTCATCAACATGTATACCCTGTTAGTCATGTGACTTACTACATGCAAAGAAAAATTATTGACAAGCCAAATTCTTATATTAACTTAAATTAAATTAACAAAAATGCTAATATAAAAAAGTTCATAATTAACTTAGTATCTCACTCCTTTAGCAACCTCAAAAAAATGTGCTACATTCTCCTCAGGTGTACCTACTACAATACCATGACCTAGGTTTAAAATGTGTTTCCCTCTACCAGCTTTTTTCACAGTATCATAAATCCTATCACTGATTAGCTCTTTCGAACCAAAAAGAACACCGGGATCGACATTACCTTGGATAGCTACATTTGGTCCCAATCGCTTTCTACCATCGGCCATATCAACCGTCCAATCCAAGCTAACAACATCCACACCGGTCGCGGCTATTCTCTCGAGCAAGCCGCCAGATCCACTGGCGTAGAGGATAAGAGGGAGTTCTGGATGGCTTTTCTTCACGGTATCAATGATCTGCTTCAAGTAGGGTAAACTGAACTGTTCGAAATCTACTGGACTAAGCTCGGTTGCCCATGAATCAAAGATCTGAACAGCTTGAGCTCCATTGTCAGCTTGGTATTGGATGTATCGAGCCATGGATGTTGTGAATTTCTGCAGTAATGAGTGAAGAATCTGGAGACAAATCACAGTTCAATAAGTAAATGAGTGTGTGATAAGTTAAAGAAATAATAGTGCAGAACTTGTAGCCATTCTGAAGTTGAAAGCATAATAGTTTAAATATTGTACTAGAGATTAAATGATAATAAAGAAATGATTGAATTGATAAACATGAATCATGCAGACCAATTTTTTAATCATAGATCAACAATTCAAGCTTTTCCATCAATGTAATATAGCCCCATCATAATACACTATTAAAAAGAAAAAAAACTGGAAAATTATAGCTTTTGCTCATATGCCTACTTAAAATAGCTTCTCAATATAATTGTAAATCTGTTTTGTTTTCCTTCATCTTCTACTTTTTTTTTCCAAAAAGCATAAAAAAATATGTTTCAGACTTTAACCACATCATAAGTATCACAAATACAAGTTTAGTATACCTAAGAGATAGAGTAAGATGGTTGAATATTACCTCGGGTTCAGAGAAAGCCAATCTCTTTATTTTTGAGAAGTGCTTTGATGAACCGCCTTCAACCACATACGACGCCAAGGTGAATGGAGCTCCCACGAAACCAAGGACCGCAGCTTTATTATCCACCTGCAATCAATACCTTTCAATTCAATAAAAAAAAATATTCACAGGGGCATTATACATGAGATAACAAGAATAATGTAACAATTATATTAAAATTTTCATTCGATAACAAGAATAATTGCAGGGTGCTTTTTATCTCAAATAAATCTGAAGAATTAAACAGTCTCATCTTATTTGACTCAACAGACAGGTTTCACTTTTATATAGCTACAAAAAAAGCATAGTGTGAAATGATAAAACAGGGACGCAAAGGTAAGAATGACATAGGATCCTCATACCTCTTTCCTCAAAATTGATAGTGCTTCACCGACATATGGAACTGATTCTTCAGGAATAAACTCCCTCACTTGATCAACTTGGCCGGCTGAGTAAACAGGATCAAAGATGACAGGACCCTTCCCTTTCACAATATCAAACGGAATATTCATTCCAGAAAGCGGGGTAAGAATATCAGAAAATAAAATCACCTGTCACAGAATCAGAATTAAGCAAATTATCATTACCAACATAATCAGACCCACAGCACACAGAAGTAAGGTAACAGAAATGCCGCACAGCATAAGAACATAAAATGAGAGCTAGAGAGTAATGTTATTGTTACCCCATCCGGCTTGAAGACTTTCCATGGCTGCAACGAAATTTCCACCACAAGATCAACATTTTCAGACCTTTCACGGAAGGAAGGGTGTTTCTCACAGATAGCTTGGTAACTCTGGTTAATAATAAAGTTCGAAAAATCAGATTTCCTTTCAATAAAGAAAACAACTCACTAACCTTATTCATGAATTGAAGGATAACAACCCAACCAGTTAGACATTTGGTACCATCAAAAACAGTATAAGTAGGGATAAGAAAGCAGACAGAGAATGTGAATATTCAAACAAAAACTTAGGCTAAATTCATTATGAACAGAAAAACCGCAGAAAATTATCTATAATGGCGATAAGTTTTTGAAAATGTGCAACATTTCTCCAGCCGCTATTAGTATATATCATACAAAGTGAAAAAGGAAAGAGTTGAACACAAACATCTTCTAATAAACATGATTAATATAGTCAATTCAGTAATTAAAACAGTAACTAATCAGAATATTCATAAAAATCACATACAAACATAAATTAAAATGTTCAAAAATAACAAATACATAGAAATTGAATGCATAAACCTACCTTCATGTACCTTCCAGCTTGTCTCATAAGCCAAACCGGGGGTCTTTCAACCTCTACTCCTCGAACCGCATTAAGCAATAGCGGTTCAGCGACATTAGTTGATTTAGATTCAACAACTGCTCCTGCACATGATTTTCCCAAATTCAGATACATAAGAAAAAGAGAAAAAAACAAACCCTAATAAATAGAAGTATACCTGGGAGAGAGCATGAAATTGATTTGGAATGAAAAGAGAGAGAAGGTTGTTTATTTCTGGGTAAGATGGAAGTGAAGGAAGTGCTGACGACGCCGCATAACATGTTTGAATTGAATTGAAGTTAGTTTCGGACAAGAGTGTATTTTTGGCTTTGGATTCGCGGAGTTTGATTGAGTTCGTTGAGTTCGGATTTGTTACGGTACGGTTGAAGTATGAGAAAGATAAGAGAATCCAACAACCAATCACAATCTGCCTGTGGGCACCCACTTCTGCCATGTCATTATAACTTCGTAACAACTCCGTTGAATTTTCACCATTATTATGTGCTTCACGCGCTCACTAAATTAAATTCATATTTGAATATCATTTAAGTTCGATGAAAAGGCAAATTTTACAACAAAACAATTGAAGCTATAATTTAATAGTAGTATAATTTGATTTTTATTTTGTTGAATAAAAAATATTTTTAAATATGTTTACACCTGTTGAACTAAAAAAATCAGTCGAGAAATCAGTTAATAGTTTTCAAATGTGATTCTATTTTTTTAAACAGTTTAAATGAAGAAGAAATTGTGTTCATCAACTCATAATTTTGAGTTCTTTAACTAGCATAAAGAGTGTTAAATACAATGTTTGCGAGATTTCGGGATGCCAGGATGCTAAATTAAAAGTAGGAGTGGCAAATGACTGTATGTCCACCTTTTAAACGGGTTTAAAATTTAAAAAAATAAATCGACGAAACAGATATAATTAAGTGTGCAGGTTTAAATTTTTAGTCCGCTCTATAAAAAAATAAGGATGGAGATGGGTTCATTAGTATTGCACTTTTATGTCTAAAAATTGTAAAGTTGTATGTAAATGCTAGCGTTTACAAAAATCTCTAAAAAAATAGAGTGACACGGAACAAACATATTAGAAGATTAAGACCAAAAATACAAAAAAAAAAATAAGATAAAAATATAAAACTAACACATAAAAATGTGTAAAAGAGTCTCTTTGATTGAATCTGTGGATTGAAAAAATTTAGATTTAATTAATCTTTTAATCCTTTAACTTAATTTATTATTTCAATTTAGTCCTTTAATTTAAAAACATTTAACTCTAGTCTCTTAAAACACTTTTGTTTGCCTAACAAGTCTCTTATGTTAAATTCTATTGAAAAAACGATAAAAAAAACGTCTATATGACATATTAAAAATATCGACGTGGCATATTTTTTTTGTTTTTACAATTATGAATAAAGTTATTTCAATTTAAACTATGAAGAACATTTCTAACTTTAAAAAGATTATTCTAAAATTATTTTTAGATTGACCCAAGCTTCATATTTAGAATCCTATGTCATATTTGGAACCTCATTTTGACGAAGACACGGCGCGATAGAGAAGAGGAATGATAAAGGTCATTGAAGTGAGAAGAATCATGTTACTATTGTTTATCTTTTTTATCTTATTTGGATATCAAAGTTTCAAATTTTTATGGATTTTTTTGTTGGATTTGATGGCAAATAATAAGTCTTGTTCTTGTTTGTATTTCTTTCTAAAGGTTTCTATTTTTTATGATTTTTTTCAGATCTAAGGTAGAATAGAAGAGGCTGAGATGGTATTACATAAGATGATTGATAAGGATATCAATCCTGATAAATCAAATTACACATCACTAATAAATAGCATGTCTCTAAAGACAACCTAAAAGAGGTATTTTGTGTCCATGATGAAATGCGGCAATGGGGGTTTTGTCTCAAATGACAAATTTTAGAAATTTTTCCACTACAGTTGCTCCAACATTACAGCTCTTTTGTTCTAAATTCACGATTTTAAGGTTGGAATTTCTATCTTTAAATGTCGTCTAAATTTGCTTCATTATGTTTGAAACATTTATTTTGTATTCTTGTGATAATTTATTCAAATATATAATTGTTATATGTATCAATAATAATTAGAGTTTAAAATTCCTTTAATTATTCAGATTTGTAAATCTGTTATTTACTTATTATATAGTCAAATATCAATTGCTTAATTAGTGGAGAATCAATAGTAAATTAGTTACCTTGGTTCACTCTAAATTAGGTCTATCAAATTTGTATATATTTACACTACTGTAAACTAATAGCATTATCAATTTTTATCACCCTATTCTTTTAATTCGAAACGTTGTTTCTCTTTGTCAAACTCACCTCCCATGGCCACCGACCACTACATCACCAACCCTATGAGCCATCCAAACCCTTTGTGTGCATCACTCTTAGCAGTGTCACCAAACTTCTTCCCACAAATTATCTTAATTGGCAACTCCAAGTTGAAGCTTTTTTTGATAGCTTTGATCTCCTAAAATATCCAGATGGATCTTTCCCCGCGCTGCCAAAAACGACCTCTACCACTGCAACACCTTCAGTGACGACAACAAATCCTGCTTATCAAACTTGGCATCGACAGGATCGACTCATTTATGGCGTTACCCTCACCACTCTCTCCAACGAAGTGGCCTCTCTAGTGTCTCAAACAAAGATGTCGCATAATCTATGGACTCTCCTCAAGAACACATATGCCAAGGCATCTCGCAGCCATCTCAAGCAACTCAAAGAGCGTCTGTGAATGGCTTCCAAAGGTACCCAATATATTACAACCTATATGCACTTTCTGAAGCAAACAGCAGATCTTCTCGCTTCACTCGGATCTCCTGTCTCGGTTGAAGACATGACTGATCATGTTTTGCGCGGTCTCGACGACAGCTACAGAGCAGTCATTGATGGAATAAATGCAAGAGATACCCCAATTAAATTTGATGATCTCCTCGAGAAACTATTCATCCAGGAACTCTCCATTGTTGCTGCTCAGAGACAAATTCCTGCTCCGGTTACAGCCTTGAATGCTCAGACTCGACCCAACTACAACAACAGGTCTCGATCTGGTCAATTCCCTACACCGTCTAATCAACACATCGGCAATCGCAAACCGTTTCTTAGACGCTGTCAGTGGTGTAATGTCAAAGGACATGTTCTATCTCAGTGCCAAATCTTCAAGCAGCAACATCCCGGTATCATGCCACCGTCTCGAAACTTTCTGGCTCACACTGGACCAGCTCATGCCAACACTGCAGCTGCTGGTCCATGCCATACTGATTTCTTGGTTGATAGTGGAGCAAAACATCACGTAACCAATGATCTTGAAAATATGGCACTTCATCATCCATACACTGGTCCTGACTCGCTGTTCATGGGAAATGGTTCAGGTTTAAACATCTCTCATTCTGGAACACTTTTACTTCATGATTTATCCTTGTCCAATGCTCTGTGTGTTCCTTCCATGAAACAACAAATTATTTCTGTCTCTAAACTTACCAAACCTTCCATGAAACAACAAATTATTTATGTCTCTAAACTTACCAAACAAACTGACTCTGTTGTTGTTTTTCTACCAAACTCTTTTTATGTAAAGAACTTGCAGACAGGCCAAAAAACCCATGAGGGCTCATGTGTGGATGGACTTTATCTCTGGCCCACCACTTCACCATCCGTACATACCGTCCGTGCGGAATCCTCTACATCATGACACCATAGGCTTGGGCACCCTTCATCCTCTATCTTCAAATTTATTCAACAGCATTTTCTTTTGGGGTTCAAATAAATTCCAGCAATCTGATTGTAATTCATGTCAAATTAGCAAGAGTCACAAACTTCCTTTTCATGAATCCACTCTTAAGTCTTCTTATCCATTAGAAATAATTTTTTCAGATGTATGGACATCTCCTGTTTTATCTATTGACGGTCTTCGTTATTATTGCATGTTTGTTGATCATTTTACTCGCTATATTTGGTTATATCCAATAAAGCACAAATCTGATGTCCAAAATATATTTCCCAAATTTAAATCACTAGTTGAAAATTTCTATCACCACAAAATCAAAATCTTATACACAGATAATGGTGGCGAATATATTGGACTTCGTCCTTTTTTAAGCACTCATGGTATAAGTCATCATACCACCCCACCTCATACACCTGAACACAATGGAATCTCTGAACACCGCAATCGTCGCATCGCTGAAACCGGTCTTTCTCTTCTTCATCACTCGGGCTTTCCCCTCACCTATTGGCCTCACGCCATGACTATTGCAGCCTACCTCATAAATCGTCTCCCAACTCCAATTATTGGGTACAAGTCACCTTATTCCAAATTACTCCACATTAGTCTGAATTATCATAAACTAAAATGTTTTGGATGTTTGTGTTTTCCCTGGATTAAACCATATGCTAACCATAAACTTGCGCCAAAGTCTGCCATGTGTGTTTTTGTAGGTTATTCAGCTGATGAACATGTGTATCTGTGTCTCGATCCCATAACCGGAAGGATTTATACCTCTCGCCATGTGAAGTTTGTTGAATCTAAATTCCCATTCAGCTCTCTAGTAGCCCAATCTAATTTACATGTAGAACAACAAACAAGCCCACTTCAAATCTCTATTTTACCGCCCGTAGCTCAACCCACTGATAATACCATTTTAAACACACCAGAAAATTTATCCGCTGCCCATCCCTCTCCATCCGTCACCCACGTACCGGACTTGGCTCAACCATCAACCTCAAATAAACCCACCAATAATACTCAAACTACACCATCACACTCCCCTCAACCTCCTCCTCCATCTCATCCGCCCCCATCCACCATCAACCCAAACCTGGGACAGCAAACCAATGGTGGTGGTATCATCACCCGGTCTAAAAACAACATTGTCAAACCTCTTAAAAAACTCAACCTACATGTTTGACCCTCCTCTCCCATTAAACCCAACACCATCACCCAGGCTCTACGTGACCCTAATTGGCGCACGACTATGCAAGCCGAATTTGATGCTTTACACCAAAACAACACTTGGGATCTTGTAAGTAGCTCATCTGCTCAAAATTTGGTTGGTTGTAAATGGGTCTGTCAAATCAAACGGAATCCGGATGGATCGATTGATCGTTACAAGGCTTGGTTAGTTGCCAAAGGGTTTCACCAACGCCCTGCTAGTGACTATACAGAAACATTCAGCCCCGTTGTTAAACCGGTGACCATTCGAATTGTTCTAACACTTGCAGTTCGTCAAGGGTGGTCCATCCGT